ATTCAGGCTGCAACGTGGGCAAAAATTGCAAGATGGGAAAGGCTGGAGGCTAGGAAACCAGTGAGGAGGCTACTGCCAAAATGCAGTGAAGAAAATTTGGATGGACGGGAGTTACTAGATTTGAAAGATTTTAAGAAGGTGGGTGGATGGGTGGGTGGGTGGATGGATGGATGGATGGATGGATGGATGGATGGATGGATGGGGATGGATGGATGGATGGATGGATGGATGGATGGATGGATGGATGGATGGACGGACGGATATGTGGGTGGATGGATTGATGGATGGATACATGAATGGGTGGGTTATGGATGGGTGGATGAATAGATCTTCAAAGGCATCTAGTGCTCTTGTATGGAGCATTTTATGCATAGAATAAAAAATTTCACTGAAAGTAACCAGAATGGATATAAAAATATTGTCTGAGTGATAAGGGCAGAGTCTGTAACATCATGAGATGCAGGGAATATAACAATCCTCTCCAAGATGCCTTCATATCAATTTTTTCCAAGAACCATGTGCTCAATTATTCTTCCCTCTACCTCTCCAAGTCAAATAAAGCATAAATCAGCCTTTAAACTGTCATTCCTTCAGCTGATTTCCAAATTCAACGTGCTGAGGCTTTAAATTATTCTGAACCTAACTTGGTTAAGCAGTACCTGAGTCTAGCTAGGATGATCTTATTGTCAGGGAAACAGAGCTGGCCTGACCCACAAAAGCTCCTGCTGATGCTGTTGCTATTCTGGAGAGAGTGTTAAAGTCAACTCAGGATGGCTTTGAAAGATGATTCCTGTCCAGTCAAGTTCAAACCGACACCCAGTTATAAAATAAATCCAAGTTGGGTCACTCTTCCTTATTAAAGACACCACAGAGACAGGTCTGATCTGTTCCTTTTCTTCAGCCCTTCCTCCCCACCTTTTCCCTGTGTCTTGAAAACACATATACACACAAAAATTCATTGCCATGTTCAGGGCTTAAGCAGGTGAAATGTATTCATATAGTTTTAGGGAAAGCCCAACCCTAAAATAATATCTTCCCAGTATCTCCTTGAGGTCCTCCATTAGCAATATATTCCTTTGTGTTAAGTATTGCCCCCTTATGGTCTGACATCTCTTTTTAAATAATATTCAAGAACTTCCCCTACCGTCTAAATTATTCAACTTACCCAGGGACATTAAGCAGTCCAGGAAAGCCTCTTATCCAACATCCACATCTCAATGGGGGGCGCTGTTGTTCAGCGGGGCGGGTGCTGTTTGATTCTGCAGCTTGACATCCCAGAGAAAACCGAGTAACACAGTGTGCCTGGTAATTGTGGGTCACTCTACAATGGCTCCTTTTTGGACCAGCTCCCAGAGTAGGCCACTAACCATCTTCTAATGAAGACAGCATCCTTCCCACAAGCCGCCTGTGGGCTCCCTCTTCAATTACTCACCTCATCTCAGACCAGTGTTTTCTAGGGGACAACCAAGTGAGTAGGTCCACAGGAAATTCTTTTTTATTGTACTAAAATATACATAACATAAAGTTTACCATTTTAACCATTTTTAGGTGTCTAATTCAGTGGCATTAAGTACATCCATGATGTTTTGTAACCATCATCACCATCTATCTTCACAACTTTGTCATCTCAAACAGAAACTCTGTATCTATTAAGCAATTGAACTCATTCTCCCTCTTCCCAGGCCCTGGTAACCTCTATTTCACTTTCTGCTTTTACGAATTTGCCTCTTCTAGGTACCTCATGTAAGTGGAATCATACAATATTTGTTTTTGTGACTGGCTTCTTTCACTCAGAACAATGCTTGCAAGGTTCATTCATGTTATAATGTGTATCAGAACTTCACTTCTTTTTTTTTTTTTTTAAGATGACCAGTAAGGGAATCTTAACCCTTGACTTGGTGTTGTCAGCACCACGCTCTCCGAAGTGAGTCATGGGCTGGACCCAAACTTCATTCCTTTTTAAGGGCTGAATAATATTCCCTTGCATGGATATATCACATTTGTTTACTCCTTCATCTGTTGAGGGACACTTGGGTTGTTCCCACCTTTTGGCTATTGTGAATAATGCTGCTATGAACAGGGGTGTAGGAATACCTCTTTGAGTCCCTGCTTTCAATTCCAGAGAAAATTTTAGCAGCTTCATTTTGAGGCTAGGTTATCAAACTCTCCTCTTTTCTTCAATTTGATTTTATTTCATGGTTCCCAAAGCTCTTCTCTGTACCACTTGGCTTTGGTCAGGTTCCCCACCAGTTTCTCCCACCAGGTCTCTATTAATTTAGGAGAGTAAAGATTGGTATATTGGTTCCTGTCCTCCCACAAAGCCCCAGAAACCTTATGCAGATTAATCCTCTTTTCTCTTCTAGTAGGTTTTATGTACTAGGCAACCGGGGAGATGACCTTGGTCGAGTCCCAAAAGGTTTCCTAACACTCTAAACCCAGAATAATGGCCAGACTACACCCTACCTTTGCCTAACGAAGAACAAAGAAGTTTAGCTTCCCTCAGCTAAAAAGAAAATCAAACTATAATCCTGTACAAACTAGCCACCAAACAAATATTTATTGAATGGCTAAAGAACAGGATATTGAAATAATTGTCTTTCTTGGAGTTGGGCTAACATCCCCACACCCTAAATTAAGATACTACACCACCTGTGCAGGACATAGCAAGGGACCATTAAACTGGATTGTCAGGCATTAGCCCATCTCACATCTCTGGGCTACAGAAATGAGACTAGGGTTTGAGGGCAGTGGAGTATTTTGTAATGGGTATTTGTTGAGGGGTTGTGCTCCCCCAAACCCCACCACAGAGGGAGGGGCTCAGAAGAGGTCTCAGGCTACTTGAAAAATGCCTCCTGAAGTCTGGTGAACTTAGGGTGGTGTTGGAAGATCAATAGGAGAAGTCCAGCAGGACCAAAGGCCGTGTGTGTCTGGAGTTTTCTATGCTTGGGAGCTGAGCAAAGAGAGGACTTCACTGGGGGCAAGCTGCCTCTCCACTGATGAAGGAAAGGGTGGTCACAGAAATGAGCATTCTGGATGCTAATATGGTTCCCACAGCCACTGGCTGGCATCATCTTAGAGGGTATCCTGCCCAAGAGAGTCACTTGGAGATGTGAAAAGACCAAAACATGCCTAGGGAGCTGGGAGCAGAAAGAGCTCTGTAGTCAGAGACCCAAGTGGGAGGCTGTTCTGGAAACCCACAAAAGTGCCGCATGGGAGAGAGCCAGCGGAGAGCAATCTCAGGTGGCTACTGTGCCTGTTGCACACCAGCTTCCCCACCGCTGCCTCCCACCCTCCTCCTCCACCCCTGAGGGGCCAGAAACGGCAGCCTGCAGTGAAGAAGGAAGTAGGTTGTGGAACACTGACAACTCTGCCCATGCTCCCTCCTCCAGCTTTCCTCCTTCTAAGGGAAGAGGAGGGGAAGATTTAAATCAGACAACAGACTGGGCTTTGTAGTCTCTACAATGAGCCTGTCTTTGTAACTGAGTGGTTCCCAAAGCTGCGGGACCTGTCAGAGATTTCTTCCAAGAACGGGAAACAACAATCCATAGACATTGGACTTCTTTCTGCTTGGTGCCCCATCAAGAAAAGCCCATCCAGTGATGACACCCACCATGCGTACTGTGCAAAAGTAAAAGGACATAAAGCCTTCCCTCATGGAGATTGTTATATAATCCTTAACTTACTATTGTAGGTTTCTGTTTCTCTCAGACCTGGACTCTGTGAAAAAGAAGGGATTGGGTGCTTCCTGGAGAAAGAGAGGTGACACCTAAAGGATAACCCAGATTCTGGAAAGGTGACAGTGACATGGTTCTAGAATTGCACCCAACTCCCTGCATAAAAACAGAGACTAGGGCCGGCCCAGTGGCGCACTGCTACAGTGCACCGCTTGGGAGCGCGGCGGCGCTCCCGCCGAGGGTTCGGATCCCACATACAGACCAGTTCCCGCTCACTGGCTGAGTGAGGTGCGGGCGCAGCACCGAGGGTTGCGATCCCGTTGCCGGTCCCGGTCCGGTACGGGCGCGACACTGAGGGTTGCGATCCGTTGCCGGACACGAAAAAAGACAAAAAAAAAAAACAGAGACTAACTAGGGGAGTGTAGTGGATGGTACTGGATGCTATTGATGCCCCGACTCCCTTCGCTGAGCTGATGCACAACCCCCACACATGAACACCAATGGCTCACAGCTGCCCCTTCTCTGGAGAGTTGCTCTCAGTTTAATGGGATTCCCTCGCCCATGACATGACACCTCTCAGGAAGCCACCCATAACCAATGACTGATGGACATGGGATGAAAAGGCCACGCACACCCCCTTACCTAAGGTGGGACAGTTCTGTGGTGCAGCTCACATCCAGAGCTCTCATGCGGTCAAGCTGATACTCTTCCCATCTGAGAACACATCTTTGCTCAGCTCCTTCCTCTGCTCTCTCCTGCTTCCTTCCCCACTTTTCTACAGAGAGCACTCCCTGAGTTAATCACATGTGCAAGAGTCCCCATCTCAGGCTCTGCTTCTAGCGAACCTGACCCAAAACAGATAACAAGACCAGAAATCCACAGACATCTATTACAAAAGAAGGTGACAAGGTGTCCCCACAAATCCCAAAATATGAGTGGGTGGGGCAAACCATCTACAGCTACTAGACCCATGTGGTGTCTGAAAGAAAATGAGCCAAAACGTCGGGTACCATTCAGGCTTTATTAAAGGAGGAAAACCCTGCTGGGCTGTGCTCAAAATGGCAGGGCAGGCAGCTAGGAGGAGCACATATGCTTATATGGGTTGGTGGAAACAAAAAATGCAAGCGGGGAGGGAGAGGGAGTGCTGGTGTGTGGGATCAGGTCGACTATTGGTGAGGGTGTGGTGGGTAAGGGTGACATAGTCAAGATGGGAGGTACCTCCAGGCAGGAGTGGAAGGGCTCTTTGTCTGGGAAACCATGAGGTAGAGGGTTCCTTTGTTTGAAGAAACCATGAGGTAGGGTAAAAGACTGGTGGCCATTTTGTACTCAATATGGCGCCAGTCATGTCCATGATGACATCAGTTGCATCCAAGATGGCACCAGTCACATCCATGATGACGTCAGTGATGCGACTGTGTCCAAGATGGCGCCGGCCACGTCCAAGATCTATCATTCCTGCCTTTTAAGTATAAGAAAAGGGGAAAAGGGGAAAAGGTCTCATTCTTCTGAAGCTACTTCCTGCTGACTGGGTGAGGAGGAAAAATCTGGCCACACAAAACTGCCATCATCCTGTCGTAGGGTGAGATCTTCTAAAGGGAGAGGTTGATATTTATGTTCCATGAACAGTTCATTTACCTTTTGGTTGGCAAAAGCCTGCATATGGTTCTGCAAAAATTTGGAAAAACACCAGAAAAGACAGGGGCCAAACAGCAGGAGAAGTCCCAGCATGGTAAGGGGTCCCAGCAGGGGCATCAGCCAAGGGGCCCATTTCCATAGCTCACTCCACCCTTCCCAAGAATCAGTGGCAGCCTGTCTCCTTTTTGCCATTTGGTCACGGAGTTGTTGGGCCATATTTCTAATGATGCCAGATTTATTGGTATAAAAGCAGCATTCTTCTCCTAAGAATAACAGAGACCTCCCTTCTCTGCTGTTAACAGGTCTACTCCTCACCTGTTCTGTAAGACCACTTCTGCTAGGGAATCTAATTGTTCTTGGAGAGCTATCATAGTTTGGGCTACCTGTTCAATTCCATCAGCCAGTTCTTGGGTTACTTTATGATAGTAAATTGTTGAGGTAGCTATGCCTCCCACTCCTGTCCCCACTCCTGCCACTGTGCCGAGCCCGAGGAGCAGGGGAATAACCTGAGTAGCTGATTTCACCCGAGTATGAGCCACCAGAGGGATTTCTAAAATTTGGTTGCCAGGGACAATGTTAATTTGGAGTGTTAAAATTGCTAAGGCACAAGTTCCCATCCAGTTCTGTGGAAGGCATTGGTATGAAAATGGCCCACAAAGTAGACCCCCTTCCAGGAGCTACAGGTGATGTTTGTGTTGTCCCTCAAAATGGTCTGGTTGCAATCTTTTACTGTGAGATTGCCCACTTCTGTATTGCCAGTAAGATTTGTTAGACAATACCCTGCTGGCTGAGTTAAAGTGATGTGGGTGGCCACCACCCCCAAGAGGACTGAGGTGTGATTGTCTGCAGGCCAATTAGACAGATTGAAGTTAGACAGGGGTGTAGCCTGGTATGGGGGAAGGGCCAATCGCAGGCAGAGCCAGCACCCCCCTGCTAATGAGGGGGACATATAATTAAGCAAATGGTGGGTGGCACTGAGGATCTGTATAACTTTGGGGTCTATTTGGGATGGATGTCAGGGTCAAGGGAGCTGGAGAGGATGTTGGCTTGGCTGGGTGGGAGTAAGACTTCAAATGACTTACTTTGTTTTTTGACGTGTTTCATCCTGGAGCCCTCCCCCACCGCTATCACCTAGGTGTGTGGTTTTAGTGAAGCACACATATTTGCCTCTTGGAGGGCACTGGGCTCCAGCAGAATCCCCCTTGGAAAGAACCATCCAGTAGTTTGTTTTCTCATGGGAACATGATGTGGCTGTGGACCTCTCATAGCAGGGGGCCGGAAGATGTGTAATAGCTGTGAGACTAGTTTTGACAGCCCCGTGCCCAAGTGTAGCCAGTGCCTGTGCACTGATCGTCCATCCTGACCCAAAGATTCTGACCTGGGAAATGCACTGTGTTCATGGTGAAGCAGATACCTGTGTTAATGGTGAAAGCCGCATAAACAGAGGAGGGAAAATGTGAGGGCAGGGGGGCTGAGAGAACACATAATAGAAAAAAAGAGTACAGGGCAAATACGTAGGGGGTGTAATCGCAGAGGACGCCCTGCCAGGCTAGCTCAGTCACCCACTCAAGGATGTTATCCACGTCAAAGGAGGCAGGCTGGGATCCATCTCGGATTAGATCCTGAATAAACGATGTGAAGCGGGCCTGTAACAGTGAAAGGATAACTGTCGGGGAAATATCATCTCTTTTGGGATTGGGACAGAAAGAGTTAATTCAAAAGGTACATTGACTCAGCGAGATTTGTTAAGAAACATCCTACTGATAGGAGGTATAGGAGTGCCAGGAGAATTTTTTCTATGGTGCTGCAATCTCTTGGGGTGGTGGATGCCAATCCTATAGCCAGTGTCAAGACAAATAGCACAGTAAAGGTTAGAGACACAGGGTGGCAATATGCTTATCATGTCCCACGATGGCAAACTCACGATAGCAGGTTGGGATCAATCTTGGAGTGGCTCTTGTATGAGTGAGGTAGAGCGGGCCTGTAAAAGCAGGGGGATGATTGCCAGGAGGGAAGATTATTTCTCCTCTGGAATTGGGGGAAAAGTGGAGGTCCTGAAAATTTTTTAATTTGTAGGTCCTAAGATAGACAAAGTATATAGAAATGTTGGGTTAGAGGTTGAGCAGAGGGACCCCTCTGGATTGGTGTGCATAGACTCATTGGGTGGAGCCTCAGGTGCTAAATTTACCAAAGATAGGTGGTACCCAGAGGTCTTTCCTAGTACCTTTACTGTCATGGGGGTGGTGAGAAGTACTGTATAGGCCCCTCCCAGCATGGTGAGAGGGGCTTTGGGGTCCGGGTTTTAATGTATACTTGTTGTCCTGGGCTTAGTTTTAAATTTGAGGAAGTAGTGTGGAAAGGATGGGGTAGTAAAAGTTTGGCTTGTTCATGAAGAAGGTCCCTAATAAGTGAAAGAGTAGGGAGATACTGGCCTAAAGGCAATGGGCTAGGAGGTAGTGGCATAAGGGTGAAGGGCCTGCCATACATGAGTTCAAATGGGCTGAAGAGAGTGGGTTTACGGGGGGCAGCCCGTAAGTGAGCTAGTGCCAAAGGGAGGAGCTGTGTCCAGGGAAGATGAAGCTCCATGGACAATTTGGTGAGGTGTGTTTTAATAAGATGATTAGCCTTTTCTACTTTGCTGGACGACTGAGGCCGATATGGTATGTGAAGGTTCCACTTGATGTTTAGGGCTTGGGCTGCGAGTTGTGTGACTTGGGAAATGAATGCCGGGCCATTGTCTGACTGCAGGCCGGTGGGTAGGACAAAACGGGGGATGATTTCTGAGGTGAGAGCTCGTGTCACTGTGGCTGCATCCTCTGAAATGGAAGCGAAAGCCTCTGCCCATCCTGGGAAGGTATCTACTAAGGTTAAGAGGTAGTGCATTTTCTTGTGGGGAGGCATGTGGGTAAAATCAACTTGCCAATCTCAGCCAGGAGTGCAGCCTCTAGCCTGATGGGTGGGAAAGGATGGAATCTGAAGGCCACCCTGATTGGAGCAACGGGAACAAATGGGGCAGTTTTTGGTGGTTTGCTTAAGTAATTTGCTCATGTGGGGACAATAGTATAAAGGCTGGAGTGACGGGGTTCGTGGCCTATGTGGATAGTATTATGGAAATCTAAGAGGATTTGTTTTGCTTGTGTCTCAGGGAGAACATAATGACCAGAAATAACATACCAGCCATCTTTCTTTTCTGCCCCCACTTCTAGGAGGTGGTGTACCTCTTGAGGGGTGTACTGGGGTGAAGGCATAGGGGTCATAAGAAGAACCTGGGTGAAGGAAGTGTGGGGGTCTGATGATTGAGCAGCCTGCTTTGCAGTAAGGTCTGCTTGTTTGTTACCCTGAGCTATGGGGCTACTGGAGGCCTGACGTCCCCTGCAGTGTATAACTCTGACCTCCTTTGGAAGCTGGGCAGCCTCAAGAAGCGTCCTGATGAGGTGTCCATTTTTTATGGGCCCTCCTTGGGTAGTCATGAATCCTCTCTCCTTCCATATAGCTGTGCAAGAATGTAAGATGTGGCAGGCATATTTAGAATCCATGTATATATTGACTCATTTACCATTGGCCAGGGTGAGAGCACAGGTGAGGGCAAGAAGTTCTGCCTGTTGGGAGGTGGTGTTAGGAGGAAGGGGAGCAGCCTCGATGGTTTGTGTTAAGCTTACTATGGTATATCCCACCCAGGGGGCTGGTACAGAGGTGGCGCTCCCAATCTATGAACCATGTGTGTTGGGGCTCTGTAATGGCATGTGGTGAGATGTGTGGAAAGGGATTGAGGAAAAAGTCTAGTACAGTTGTGTTCTATAGGTTGAGAGTGCCTTGGGATGAGAGTGGCTAGGTTCAAGGGAGGACAAGGTTTAAAGGAAAACTGAGAATTTTCAATGAAAGTAAGGTGGATGAGTTGTAGACAGGCAGGAGAGAGAATTGACATTGCCTTATGACTGACAAAGTCTTGAAGATGGTGGGGGGAACAAATAACTGTTGTCTAAAGGTTAACTTAGAGCTTTCTTGTGCTAGAAGGGCAGCTGCCGCCAAGGCCCGTAAACAGGGGCCCATCCCTGGGCTGTGGTGTCTAGTTGTTTTGAGAGGTATGCAACCAGAGAGAAAATATCTCCTGCCTCTTGTCCCAAAACCCCAACTGGGTCTTGGTGACATATAGAATAAAAGTACGAGACAGGTTTGGGAGAGGGAGAGCTGGGGCTGTAAGGAAAGCTGCCTTTAGTCACTGGAAGGGAGAATGAATGGGCTTTGTGGGATGTAAGGGAATGGCAGGATCCCCTTTGGCTGCCTCATAAGTCCATTATAAACCCATTTATGGCTAGCACGCCAAAATTGGGAATCCATAGGTAAATGTACCCTGCAAGTTCCAGGAAGGAAAGGATTTCACCCTTTGTGGTGGGGGTAGGGAGTTCGGAAATTAGACTCTTGTGATCTACCATTATCTCTCTGGTGCTGGGAGTAAGGTGGACTGCCAAATAGGTGAGTGAAGGGGAGGAAATTTGGGCCTTGCCAGGAGACACTCAATATCCCCTGGAGGCCAGGAAATTGAGGAGAGCAATAGTGTGGGCCTGTGAGTCCTCATATGAGGGGCTACATAGGAGAATGTCATCTACATATTGTAGTGTAGTGCTAGAGGTGGGTGGAAGTTCAGGTAAGTCTTGAGCTAAGGCTTGGCCAAAGAAGTGGGGGCTATCCTGAGACCCCTGGGGCAGGACTGTCCAGGTGAGTTGTTGGGATCAATGTGTGTCGGGATCGGTCCACATGAAGGTGAACAAGTCTTGGAAGGAGGGGTGAAGGGGAATAGAAAAGAAAGCATCTTTGAGGTCAAGGACTGAAAAGAAACAGGTTGCAGTAGGAATGGTGGGTAGGAGGGTGTAGGGATTGGGAACAACAGGGGTTATGGGTAAAACGGCTGCATTAATGGCTCGGAGGTCCTGAACCAAGCGGTATGAGCCATCAGACTTCTTCACTGGGAGGATGGGTGTGTTGTATGGTGAATGAGTGGGTTGCAAAAGGTTGGAGGAAAGGAGTTTATGTATGATGGGCTTTAACCCTATGAGATGATTGAGAGCAATGGGGTATTGAGATATGTTAGGAAAAAGAGAAAATTCTTTAAAAAGAACACGGATGGGGTAGTGATGAGTGGCGATGGAGGGGGAAGATGTATCCCATACAATCAGCTTGACCAGGTTAGAGGAAAAGGGAAAGGTGGAGTCCATAGAGTCCAGGTCTGGGGCAGCTTGGGTCAACAACAGCAAGGAAGGCGTCTGATCATATAAGGTTAAAGTTGCCCTGAACCTCGAGAGAATGTCATGCCCCAATAAAGGGGCAGGGCATTGGAGCATAACCAGGAATTTATGTGAAAAGTAGGTGTGGTAAAGTGTACAGGAGAGGGGTGGTGTCACTCAAGGGCAGTATTTGGATCCTGTAACACCCACCACAGAGTTAGAGGATGAAGCGGTGGGCCCCAAATATTTGGGGAGAGTGGAATAAGTGGCCCCTGTGTTGATAATAAAAGAGATCAGCTTACCTGCTGTGAGGAGAGTTACCCTGGGCTCACACGTGGTGATCTCTGTGGGGGCCTCGAACCCTGGGCTTTGTCAGTCCTCCTCCTGGGCAAAGCCAAGAAGTTCAGGCAAGGATGGTCTTACCAGTGGGGCAGGGATTGGCCCACTCCCTCTCTGGCAAGCGGGGCAGTCAACCCCCCAGTGGCCCTCCTGCTTGCAATGTGGGCAAGGCCTGGGAGGGAGCCTAGGGTTAGGACAGGGTCTAGCCCAGTGGCCCAGTTGGCCACACTTGAAACAGTTGCCAGGTAGCACAATGAAGTTTTGATATGTGAGTCCTTTGGGTAGAGGGTCCCTGGATGGCATCGGCCAGAAGCTGGTATTTGGCCTGATCTCTCTTGTATCACTCCTTCTTTTCCTCCTCCTACTGTTAAAAACCTTGAAAGCCAGATTGAGGAGGTCTCTCTGGCTGGAATTGGGGCCATCTTCGAGTTTCTTTAGTTTTTTCCGAATGTCTGTGGCTGACTGAGTGAAAAAGTGGGAGTGGAGGCGAGCCGTCCCAGCCGGGGAAGCGGGATCTATGCTGGTCTATTTTTGTAGTGCCTCGGAGAGACGGGTCAGGAACTCGCTGGGGTTCTCAGTGGATCGTTGGGTAATTTCTCTCAATTTATCATAGTTAACCAACTTGTGGGTAAGTTTTTGTAAAGCAGAATGTATATGGGTGACCATTTGATCTCGGAGGTCACGGTCCCCGTGTCCACTCTTATAATTCCAATTGGGGTCAACACAGGGCAGGGCTTCAACACCTGTGGGCAATCTATTGTTTTGTACATGTGACTTGTCTGTGTGTTGTTGGGTCACAACCCAGACCTGTTCTCGAACCTCAGGTGAAAGGGTAGTTGTAAGGATCATGAAAATATCATGCCAGGTAAGGTCATAGGATTGTAAGAGGTATTTAAATTTCTCTACATAAGTTTTGGGGTCTGTTTGGAAAGATCCAAGATGCTTTTCAATCTGGGAAAGGTCAGAAAGAGAAAAGGGGATATGGACACAAACAATGCCCTCCGTAGCGGCAACCTCGCAAAGGGGATACAAGGGGGCTGGCGGGTCAGGAGGGGCCGGAGGGGTGCAGGAGGCATCCCGGCTGTGGGGTGGCAAAGGGGAGGGGTTGGTGCAGGCAAAGGGGCTGGGGAGGGGCCGGAGGCATATGGCGGGGGCCAGGGTGCGGAGTGGTCTGAGGGGTCGAAGGGAGGGCCAGCCTCCGATGGGGGAGGCCAAGCGTGGGCAAGGAGGATTTGGGACATAGTACAGGTTTGACAGAGGGAGGGGCGAGACCAAAGGTAGAAGAAAGCCTGAACGTGGGGAATCTCTCCTGCCTCGCTTCTGTGACAGAAGTTATCAAGGTCTGTTAGGGTGGCCAGATCAAAGGTACCATTTTCTGGCCATTGGGATCCGTTATCGAGTTTATATCTTGGCCAAACTTGATTACAATAAAAAAGGAGCTGTTTGGGTTTTATATCTCCTTGTAGGCTGAGGAGTGGTAGATTAGCAATGAGGCTCCCCAGAGGAGTAGATCGGGAGGGTCTGGTCTGAGAGGACCCCCTGCTGAGGGTGAGAAAGGGGAGCAGTCCCAGTAGAAAGAGGGCGGGAACAACAAGAGGCGTCCCTGTTGTTGCTCTGCCCCCTCGGACAGAGGGCAGCCACCGGTATGAGGGCGTCCCCTGTCACCGGGCAGGAGAGGGGTTTTCTCAGCCAGGAGCCTGGTCTTTCGAGTGAGACCATAGTCGTAGACAGAGGATCAAGAAAACCTGTAGGAGTAGATGGGAAGGACTCCCCTAACTCACCCCAAATGAGGCCGGTGGTGGATGTGCTGGTCTGAAGCGGCAAGGCGAAAACCAGAGAGTCCCGGGGCACCCGGTCCGGCAGGTCCAGGAAGGGCGGGCAGGAGCCCATCAACCCAAGAGAGGGGATTGGCTCACGGTCCGGCCAAGACCCTTCCCGGGTTTCAGCACCAAAATGCAAGAAAATGAGCCAAACGTCGGGTACCATTCAGGCTTTATTAAAGGAGGAAAACCCTGCCGGGCTGTGCTGAAAATGGCGGGGCAGGCAGCTAGGAGTAGTACATACGCTTATGTGGGTTGGTGGGCACAAAAAACGCAGGCGGGGAGGGGGAGGGAGTGCTGGTGTGTTGATCAGGTCGACTATTGGTGCAGGTGTGGGGGATGGGGGTGACATAGTCAAGATGGGAGGTACCTCCAGGCAAGAGTGGAAGGGCTCTTTGTCCAGGAAACCACGAGGTAGAGGGTTCCTTTGTTTGAAGAAACCACAAGGTAGGGTAAAAGACCCATGGCCATTTTGTACTCAGTATGGCACCAGTCGTGTCCATGATGACATCAGTTGCATCCAAGATGGCACCGGTCACATCCATGATGACGTCAGTGACATGACCGTGTCCAAGATGGTGCCAGCCATGTCCAAGATCTATCAGTGTCAGCATCCTTGCAAGATAAAACAGAGGGAAGGAAAAGGGGTCCTCCTGAGACCCCCAGACCACCAACTGGTGCTCACAGGAGAAAGCAAGGCAGGCCAATCTGAGAGCATCAGGTGAAACCAGGAGGGGGGTCTGTGGATTGCAGCTCGCAGGTGTGTGCAAGAAACCACTGTGAGATAAGGTCTGAGTGCTGGAGAGGTCTTAGCCCCTTGAATTATCCAGGCTAGCAAATCAAAGCTCTCTTCTAGAGGAAAGGCTTGCATTGAGCAGAAACTGTGAGAGCAGAATCCAGATAGGACAAGGACAATAGAGGCAGTGGAAAGAGAAGGCCCAGATGTAAGCACAAGAGGGGAGCAGAGAAAGGACACAGGCCATATTTTTGATCACTTAGTGAAAACAGCTGAAGATGGACAGAGCTCTAAAAAAAGGAAGCTTGAAAAGTTATCCTAGTCTGATTTCTCCACATGAAAGCATAGGAAAACTCATGTCACTTCAAACAAGTAAAAAAGTGTCACTGTCAAATCCCATTCAAAACTCTAAGAAAAAAGAGATTTACAGACAATCAAAGCATACCAGAAATACATGCCCACGAAAAAGGGAAGAAAAGAAAAAGAAAACTATCGCCTAACATTTCAAAACTGGCTAAAAGAAATAAAGGAAATAATAGCTATAGAATATTTATATTATACAAGTCTCTAAAAAAGAAATCCAAAACAATAAAATAGAACAAATACTAAGGACTATAATTCAAGAAAATCAACCTCAAAATGGCTAACACTGAAACATATTCTTAAAAAATGATTGGACTTCAAATAATTATACTTTGAGCACCAGTCCCAAAAGGCCAAGTCACTTATAAACTAAATAAAATCAAATTGTCATTAGACTTTTTAACAGCAGCACTTTATGCTAGAAGGTAATGAAGTATCCTATTTAGGATCCTCAAAGAAAGAAAATGTGAGCCAAGAATCTCTATCCTAAACAGATCTTCAAACAAAATTAAATTTTAAAAGTAATCCCTAAATATTCAAAGTAAAATAAGAATCTAAAGGTGTGTTCAGTTAGTATGATAACCATACAGGCAGGAATTTTTCAATTATCTTTAAAATATAAAATTTAACTTTATACCTTTTGTAGACCAAGAATAAAAAATAACTAAACAACTCCTAAGAATTGAAAACAGGTGTTCAAACAAAATTTGTACATGAATGTTTGTAGCAACATTATTCATAATAGCCAGAAAGTGGAAACAACCCAGATATCCATCAACTGATGAATGGATCAACAAGACATGGTCTATCCATACAGTAGCGTGAGATTCAGCCATACAAAGGAATGAAGCACTGATTCGTGCTACAACATAGATGAACTTGAAAGCATGCAAAGTGAAAGCCAAACACAAAATGCCATATATTATATGATTCCATTTATATGAAATGTCCAGAATGGGCTAATCCATAGAGACAGAAAGTAGACTTCTGGTTGCGGGGGGCTACAGTGAGGGGAGAACAGAGCATCACTGCTTAACGGGTACAGGGTTTCCTTTTGAGGTGATGAAAATGTTCTGGAACTAGACAGTGGTGACGGTTGCTCAACATTGTGAATGCACTTAAATCTACTGAATTACACACTTTCAAATGGCCAAAAAGGTGAATTTTGTTACATGATTTTACCTCAATAAACAAAAAACTTTAAACTATTTTCATTATCATATTGATGGTATAAACGATGGTATTGTTATTTCCAGACCATTGTGTGCATGATTGTGGGATACTGAGAAATGAAGCAAAAGAACAATTATGTTTATATCTTTGGGAACTAAGAGTCTCAGCACTGGAGAAAGAAAATACATATGTAAGAGTGTTGAGGTTAAATAAAAACCCTACAGCCATGATTTAATTGGAAGTATTAATATGAATTTATTGTGTGTTTTGTTTCTTTAAATAACTACTTACTAGCTTTGTCTATTGAAAATTCCTAGGAACAATCTCCGACCCAATGTCTTGGCAATGTGACCAGCACAATACTGGCACTCAGGAAATATTTGTGGAAGAAAGATAGGGAAGGAGGGACAGAATAAAATGAGGGAGAGAGGGAGGTGGGATAAGAAATCTACAAACTTATGTGTATGTATGGCTGTACGCTTAATGTGTGTGTATGTAGAAAAAGTCCTGAAAGAATATATTAAGATTGCTCACAGTAATTACTTTTTGAGGGAGGAGCTATGATCTTTCACTATTTACTGAATATCTTTTTGTAACTTTAGAATATTTTAGAGAGTATATAAGAACTTTATTACAAAACACATGTTAAAAGTCCTCAAGCAAATTGGCAATATGCATTATAAATTTAAAACTATGCTTGAGGCAAATTAATAGGGTTGTGTTTGTGCATATGGATGTTTGTCTCAATATTATTTATAATATGGAAAATTTCCAAACATTCAGTGCATCCAATAATAGGGCATTGGTTAAGTTAATTACACTATATGCATATATTAGAACACTATGAAGTCATTAAAATTCATACTTTACAAAACTATTTAATGAATAGGAAAATTTCTATGATATATTAAGTGGAGAAAAACAAATTCTAAAGAGTGTTATACATAAGATCCAAAAATTTGTGTGTATGCATGTGTATTATATACACCCAGTATATTCACATGCATAGAAAAAAGTCAGGATGGCTATAAACCAAAATGGCAAAGGGATGTATCGGTCTATTTCTGTTGCTTATAACAAAATTCCTGGAACTGGGTAATTTATAAGAAAAGGAAAGTTATTGCTTACAGTTTCAGAAGCTGGGAAGTCCAAAGTCCCAGGCGACACAGCTGGTGAAGGCCTTGTTGAGGGTAACAGTGATGAAGAGGTCTCACATGGCAGAATGCCGGAGCAGAGAAGGAAATAGTTCCTCATGCACTGTCCTTTTAAAACCCTCAGAACATGCCCCTGACCATCATTAAGTCATCAATTTATTATTCCATTTATTAGGGCATGGACTTCACAGTCTATCCCCTATTCAAGGCCCTGTCTTTCTATTACCATAATAGGATTTCCCACCCTCAACCGTTACAGTAGAGACTGAGCTTCAATGACTTTGGGGGACCTTCAATCTACTGCAAGGGATTACCTCTGAGTTATAAAATTATGGGTAATTCTAGTGTTTATTCCTCCAGTAACCCCATAATTATTGTGCACCTACCAAGTATTTTCTGTATTTTCCTTCTTATGAACATGTTTTCTTTTTATAATTAGAAAAGAGCAATAAATGTTCATTTTAAAGGAATAAAAAAGGATCTCTGAGAATGAAATGGAATACCAGCTTCTCTTCATTTCCCCTAAGTCTGAACTGTTGTTTGTACTCGACCTGAGCACATGGACATGAGAGCTGGCTACTGCAGGAGACTTAAAGGAAAGAGGGAGCAAATGGAGAGCTTCTGCCCAGACCAGAACCACCATCACCCCAAATGGCCAGTCACCATCACCCAACGAGGCCATCCTCCAAATGTACAAAGCCCACTCACTTCTCTCCTCTCCAACCTAGTCTTCTTCTTTCCTGCACAGTCTTCAAATTTTCCACACTGATGCTCAGGCTTATGTCCCTAGGTAGGACCAAGGTGTTAAACATCTATAGTTTTTGCCAACTTGCACCCATTCACTCTTTTGACAAAGTATCCTGAATTATCTCCGGGGAATACCATCTATCCACTCTCAGCCAGTGTGCTACCAGTGGTGCTCCATCCCCTGCCCAGGGTCAGAACATGTGACCCAGGCTCAAGCCAATCAGCACATTCAATTTCTCTAGTCAAAATGATTAGTTCAGGGATAATCATGTGACCCAAACAGAGCCCATGCAATGCAATGAGACTGGGAATATTCTGGAAATACTGGGACAAAGATTATTTTACTTTTCCTATTGGATGCGATACAGGAGGTGCTCAGTTTCCCTGGGCTCGAATTTCAGGACATGCCTCTGGGTCCCCTGCCACTTCCTGAGGTCTCGGGCCCTCCTCTGAGCTCTCCCCTGGAGGAAAGTTACTGTTGCCAGATAGATCTATTTTTAGCCCCAACATGGGGAAAATGAGACCACAAGGAACTGGCTTTTGCAAATCCAGTGGCTGGCATGCTCAATAGAGAGCACAGAACATTCTTGAATATGCCTGGTGTGTGTGATAAAGTCTGACCAATGAACATGCTCCAGGAAGGGACCAACTGAGCATGTGCAGGACTAAATGCTACATAACTGGGAGCCACCCCCTTAGCAGAATATTCATTACATGGAGAAACTATAAAGGCTGAATCCCAGCCAAAGGCAGGGCTGTTGCTCACTTTCCTGAAGGCAGACTGCGCTTCCACTTTGCTGGCTGAGATGTGCATATTTTACTTGGTATCTAACTTACTTTCAGCAAGCAGCTGCTCATTCTCTTGAACCAGCCTGCACTTTGTGCTGAACTTTAAGTGTTTTTCTTGCTTTTGTGTTTGACTTGATGTCTGTACTGAACTTACTTTTGTGTTAAACTTGGTGTGGGCCCTGCTCAATCTCTGGAGCATGCTGCACTGTGTCTGCGGAACCTATTTCTTATCTATTATATTAAACTTGTTCTGTCTACTGTGACTCTGCCCTTGAATTCTTTCCTGTGGCTGAGTCAAGAACCTGGTAAGAGGACTGGGTGGGTTGAGGCTGACTATCAGGCCCCACTGGATGCTACCTCCGACATCAGATGTAAACTTAGAAGGACATATTCCTGGGAACCTCTGGAAGTCATTGTAAGACCATAACGAGAGAATTTGTCTATGAATGAAGTCAACTCAAAAAGGGTAAAACAAAAAGATGGAGATGGACGGACAATGCATCTTGATG